TTTTGAACATGTTTACTCCCACTAACGGCTAGGTCGAAATAAAGGGAAAAGGAGTAATGACGCTTTGGGACATATGAATTAAGAATTAGGGGAAGTAGAAGTTGTGTTGATATGATAAATTTGAGAATGATGGTCGAAGGCTTAAACATTGCTTAGGAAATGGCGAGAACAAAGGATAATTTTTTCCTGTAGTTATTGGGACCATATTCATTAGAAGACGAGTTTTAGTTTTATATATTGATCTTATTTGACTCGTTTTCTTTTTCCTGCATCAAATTTGTCCTTGCAGCTGCTAGTTGCGGGTGGTGGCATGTATGTTGAGGTGTTCAATAGAGGGGTTATTCCACTTGCCTACAGCATCCGAAAGAAGAACAAAGCAGGAGAAACTAACACTTACTTGGATGGTATCTACCTTCTATTCACCTATTTCACCAAACCTGAGTCCATGGAGATTCTTGGGGAAACATTACAAGCAGATGACGATGTTATTCGATCTTCTAGTTTCAAGATCAGGAAGAGGAAGTTGTTTTAGAAGGTACCCTTTCCATATTCAGAATATGCTGTAAGTTTGTCACTGTCCCCAGTTACTGCAAGATTTAGACGTAAATTTATTTCTACTTGTTTATTAGATGAGTTAATTGTGCTTTGTTTGAGCAAGTTGGCCACTGTCCCCAGTAACCCTTCCAATGTGTGAAGTTTCTTGCAAGTGTCATTCTTCATGAATGTCTTACACTTTCTTTGCTTGTGTTTTTCATATCTCATCTCAAGTCCAAATAAAGGGATTAGGGTCGCGATAATTTCACTTCTTTAATCAACAGTAATTGCGAAGACAATAACTATAGTCTCAAAAGTACAGATAAAAAGCCAAAAAATGGCTTCTACATTAATCAACATATTGTAGCTCGAAACCAAATGAATCTAAGACCAACCAAAGACGTAGTCAAGGACATACACAAGGACTAGAGAGAAAGGATACAGCAGGAAAGCTAAGAAAGACGTCCAGAGGGGGAAAGTCGTGCGAATGCTGGCAAAGACTCCCATAACAATGCACACAATCAATATGACCAAAACTTCAGACGAGAAATCCCAAACTAATCCTCTTACATAAACAAGTGCCAAGAAGACCGACAGGCACAAAGTATTGTTCATAGTTACGGCTCCATATAACTGCAATAAGGAAAAAATAAAGAGGTCAGGTACATTAAGAAATACCATAGTTATGGATGTCCAGGTTCTGCCCTTTCAAATCATGGCAACTATCTAAAGAATATGTGAGAATTGAGAAAGAAGTGAACCTCTGAAAATGTCAATGAGGCAGATCTGAACTTTTTCCGGCTGGC